CTGAGCTTTGCGAAGATCTCCTTAGCTAATCCTCCATGTCTTTCTGTGCGGCTATGTTGCCATGGGGCCCGTGCGACGATGACTTTGAGGACAGCGCCAATCTCATTCACCCTTTCGGCGATGTCTTTGCCGAATTCTCGACCCTGATCCACAATGACGCACTCTGGAGCTCCAAAAACTCGAACCCAGACAGACAAAAATGTCTGCCACACATGCTCTGATTGCATGTTGTTCAAAGGTTCCAGCAGTTGATATCCTGTGGCCCAGTCAACCATGTTGAGAACAGGCTTGGTGGTGCGAACATCCACTCCTGGAAAGTAGACCACGTCAACGCCGACATTCTTGGACGGCTCGAAGGATCTTGGAAGTGCTGCGGGCCGGGCGCTACGTGGTCGAGGATGAGCTTCGCACACATCGCATCGATATTCATTCTTCACATAGGTCCATACTGAACTCTTGGCTCTGGCCATTCGGAGAACTCTGCTTTTCCTGGATGGCCAAGGTTGCAGTGAAGCTTATGGACCAATTGCTTTTCTTGTCAGGTCAGGCCCTTGCTGGCCTCTTCGGGGTTTTCTTCATCCCCCATTGCCTCATCTTCTTGACGAGGTCTTCGTATATGCATCTTAATTCCTTCTAGCCTTTCCAGGTCAGCGTCTAGGGCTTGTTCGGGGTCTTTCCTCCTGAGTCGCCCACACCTTGATCTTCCTCGCGTCCTCTTCAGCCCCCTTGATCATCGCCTGGCATAGTTGCTTGGGGTATTATTCTTGCGCTAGTTTGAAATATACCGCCCACCAGCGGCATGTGTGTATGCTGCTGATCGCACCTTCGGCTCAGCTGTTTTGCGATGCTGATGCCATTGACCATGAAGTTGGTGGGCTTCTTGTTGGGCTGTCCCTTCACGGCCAGTGCATATTGACATTGATCACCTCTCACTCTTTGAACTCCAGGCAGCTTCAGAATCTTTTGCACTGCTGGTTCACTCCACGCTCTTGAGGTAGAGGGGTGCTCAAAGATGGCGAGTCGTCCCCTGCGACATTGCCATTCATACACTTGCATTCCGAAGTCCAAGTGTTCCCTTCCATCTTCAATTCGTTGAATCCAGACATTCTTGGGAACCTTGCTGCGTTTGAGCTCCTGAAGTAATGAAACAGGACCACAAGGAGGACAAACGACGATCAAATCGGGGTCCTCTTGCCTCAACTCACGCCAGCATCGGGCCCTGTCTTTCCTCTGAGACAGGTCATAGTCAGAGCCGGTGTGAAGGTCGAAAGCTCCTCCACTTCGATGCCCCATTTCTTCGGCTGCTTGAGTGACCCTTGGAGGCGAAAACACCTCAGCCACAGTGAGCTTCTTCACTTGTTTCAAAATTGCCTTCCTTGACGATTGTGAGAGGGCTTTGTCCTGGCCGGGCTCATAGAAGTCCTCTTCCCAACATTCTCCACTGAAGATGCCTAAGGCCGTGGATGTTCCTGGAAAGGCGTCTCTGCTTGGCAAAATGACTGTGTGACCATTTGACTGGGTGGTTTGAAGCCACCAGGTTTGTGCAACCTGTCGATTCCAAGGAGGTTCCTCGCCCTCCTCAATCTGCTTCTTTGCCCAAAGGTCCCACTGTGCGGAGTTCTTCCATCACCTCATCGCGCACTCCTTCATCATGAAGTACGCCTGTTTTTCCACAGGCGAGCTCATCTATGCCATCTTCCATGATGCTTCTGATCCCTCCATAGGACCTTCGGTCTGCATTGACCCCTGGGCTCCCGATGACGTGGAGGTTTGTTGCATCATCTGGCAGTAGATCATTGCCTTCTCTGAGGTCTTGTGCTGAATCTTGGGATCTTTGAAGGCCATCTCCATCTTCTGGTTCTGCAGCGTCTCCTTCTCCATCTCGTGGCGCACATGCTGGTCCAGCATGAGAGCCTGATGCCGCTCCTCCGCCATTGCCATCGTCGATTACTTCGTTCTTCTCCTTGGCAATGGCCTCCTCGAATTCTTGGGCTTTGCGATCCTCCTCTTTCTTCATGAGTTCCTCTTGAAGGACTCTGACTTCCTCTGGATCCCGCTCGAAGAAGTCGCAAATCCTGCGGGAGCACTTCCAGAAGAGGCGTCCTTGAGTGGGTCCTGACTTCTTGACCTGAAGCTGAGTGGCCGTGACTCCGCACTTGCACTTGATCCGTTGGCTGGAGGTCATCTTCATGGGAGTGGCTGCCAGAGAACTTGGTGGACTTTCCAAAGAGCTCATGGGTGGCCATGGAGTCTTCACTGGGGTTGCCGGTCCCGGCGTGGTCTTCCTCGGTGGAGTCATTGGATAGGCCTTGGTGACCTTGGTGCCGTCGGCGAGCGAAGTCCGCTCTGGCTGACAAATGCTCCAGGGTGCATGGACACCGTCGTGCCGCCCACCTGGATCACCGGATTCTTGCTCTGCACTTGCTTCATTGCCTCTGGGTCCACTAGCCAACGAGCATGGCATTGCTTGCACCATACTTCCCGCTGAGTTTGATTTCCAGCTCCAACCAATTGGTTGGGAGGACGAGAGCACATCTCCATCGACATGGAGGGTGGATTCTTGCTTGCACTTGCGCCTCCCAAGGAAGTTTCCCTGCCTGATCATCTCGGCATAGGCCATCTCCTTGACAGTGGGCGCCACCGTAGGAGCGGCTTGGGGCGTAGCACTGACTTGCGACCATGAAGGTGATCCATGCGCGGATCCATCGGCTTGCCAACCGCTGACCCTTGCTTGAGCCTTGGCGAGATCCATCACGTCTGCCACCTTTTCCATGACAGTCCTCCAGTGGGCATGTGCCCTTTCCGGGCTGTGCTGATGCTGCGAACTGCTCCCATCGGACCTGGCCACCATTTGTTCGATCTTCACCATGCGGTTGAGCAGGTCCATGCTTGGAAGAGTCGAGCGATGAATCGAGCTGGGCGAAATGCCACATACGCGAACAATCGAGCACTGAGGTGGCCACAGAAAGAAAATGAAATGCATTCTTCCGCTCTTCAAATGCTGGGACAGCATCAGGCAGGCACCAGCCGGTTGGTGCAAAATGCAAAACATCAACTGCAACATGTCCAGTGGGCAATATTGACTGCAACTCGGTCGAACGATCGAAGGTCCCCAGGTAAAGCTTCAGTTCTGCCAAAATGATGATGGCTTTCACTTGTTGAAGAAACTTGATGGAAAGTCAAAAGGGAACTTCTTCCTCGACAACGGTGGCTTCGATGATACCATTGATCCCGGCGACGCCGACCGGAATCTCGACGACCCCGGCCCTACCACGTGAGCCTCCCCACCGATGCCCCTTGCTTGTGCTTGCTTGTTGGACCATTTGACTTTCAAACAATGCTTTTCGAGGGCTTCACAAAGACGATCAAGCGCTTTCTTTCTGATGAGCCCCCCTTGCGCAGCTGCGTCAACGATGCCAACCTGTGAACTGGTGGTCAACCCAACAAATGGTGAGCGCTCTCCCTTCTTGAGGAACTGACCAAGGGTGACCTGGTAGCTGTCGGTGGAATTCGTGGCGTGCTCCCCAACCTCAAAGAACCCAGCTTTCGGGGAAGTGGTACCCGTGGATGAAGCGGCTGCTCGGCTCTTTCCCCTGGCGTCTGGCTCATTGGTGCACTCTTTGGCCCAGTGGCCTACCTGGCCGCACCTCGCACACTTCGTGCGAAGTTTGAGCAAATCCACATGGACTTTGGCGCCCTTGTGGGAGAGCTTGATCGAAGCTTTCCCCTTTGAGGAAGCGTTGCCACTGCCCTTGCTTCCAGCGCTTGGCCCATAGTATCCCCTGTTTGTCTTCTGTTCTTGAACCGCCTTCCTGACTTGCTGGTAGGTGGCGAGGGCTTCTTGAATTTCTGACTCCTCATAGATGTGGTTGAGGTCATCCTCCCCCAGGTACACATAGTCCCCGCTGCTCGCCTCGCTGCCACCATCGAGGGGTTCAGTCAGGAACGTCTCGTCCTCGGCAGTCATGTAGCGGCTGCCAGACTTCTCCTTTTGGATCTTCTCCAGCTTGCGGAGTGCTTTGACCACATCGTTCCTTGCGAACTTGCCCTGCGTCCATGTGGTGATTTGATCCTCTTGAACCTGAGACAGATTACTCTGCCTGTAGAGGAGGTAGCCCTTGACCTCGTCTGAGAGCTTGACTCCCTCATCTTGCAACTCTCTAAAGGCAGCATCTTGTCGAATGACGAAGTCGCAGATGTTCTCTTTGGGCTTACGCGGTTCACCATAGACAGCTTTCTCAAACGCTTTGGGCATTGTGGTCTCAAGGTGAGGAGAGTAGTGTTCTCGGAGTTTGTTCAGGATGAGGTCCAAACCGTTCTCCGAGGTGATCTCCTCCACAGACAGCTCATTGCATATGGCCTTGGCCTGGCCAGTCAACTGCCTCAACACCTTCACACCATGCTTTCGCTCCGGCGCATCTGTGTCGCGACGCCAGAGCTTGAGGTCTCGCACGAATTGCTTGAACCCTTCGACATCGCCATCGAAGGATGGTGGAGGATCTCGGTCCTTCCACGTAGGTGCATCTGCACCTCCCGAAGCGGCCGCGCCATTGCTAGCCGGATCGTGTCCTGACATGCCAACCAGCTCCGCTACCACTGTAGATTACCCACAGCGGCGCGGCTGACTGGCGGCCAAACCCATTTTGCCTGCGGGAATGTGCCCCTCGGGCCTGGTATGTTCACCGGTATGAAATTGCTGTACACTCGTGAGCAAGCGGTGCCTAACGACGAACCGTGGTTTGGTCAAGACACTTCAAATCCACACCAGCGTTAAAGGCCAAACAAGACATTTTTAATATTGAAAATAACAAATAAACCTAAATTGATAGCATACAGAAGTTTGATTTGTAAAATTGTCGCACCAACATGAGGACTTCAATGCGTGAACGAAGGCTGGGAACACCTTCCATCTGTCCAAACCCAACCTAGTCACATCTTCCCACCTTGAGATCCGCAGGCAGTGCTGTGGCTATTTACACCAGTTACCTTAAGGCCCGGGCAGCACCAAAGGCAAGTGCTCGGGCATAGCAGTCACCCGCTCCTTCCCAGTCAGCCTCCTAACCATCCAAGGCATCATCAGACACTAGAGAAAACGTTTTCGGCTTTCTGTCGTGTCCTCCACTGCCATTTCACCTGAAGCAGTTCCAATGCAACAAAATCAAGTATGCATGAAAGCTGTGTGCCAAAGCTCAACTTGGAAGCATCACATGCTGGCATTGCCTGCTCTTTTCCAGCCATAAATGGCGCCCGTTCTCTCAATGGGAGACATGACCTCTGCTTCCTTTTCAACCTGCGATGTCAGGCATCTGCGACAAAAGCCGTGTCAGCTATTCCAGCCTCTGACAAAAGGATGAGCCGAACATTTTGGCTTTCTTGCGACTCTGCCTGCAGATCAAGAATCGCCAACATACATACGGCTTGATGTCTGCAAGTGGCGTGGGAGCATTCTTCAAAGTCATAGACTGAGCACGCTTGATTCTGCCCAGCTTTGGCCTGCCTGCTCACCAAACCCAACTTTTCTCCAAAAACCGGGCTCCAATGTTGATGAGCTGGGTTGGCAGCATTCACAGCCCTCGGCGTGCGCCGAATTGAAGGCGTCAGAAATTCGGAGCTTGCCTTTGCCCGGCTTCCCTGCACAAAATTTGTCAGGCTGTCTCTGCAAACAGGCATCTTTGTTCTGAAGAAGGCGCACTGGCGGACAATGCAACGAAAGCAAACACCTCGCCGTATTTTTCGAAAAATGAAAATGGGCTGACCTAGCGTGCGCAGGTCCAATCATCCATGAATACGCCAGCACAAACCCCAAATAGCAAAGATATTTGTGGGCGCCGCCCTGGAGCACTACCAACACACCCAGGCTCCAAAGCGCACACTGCGATAGACATCTGGCAGCAACACCCTCCAGCGGCACCCTGCACCAGCACCCAGGCTCCAAAGTTTGAGGCTCTCGCTATCTTTTCTAGGCAAACAAACGTCTGGCAGCACCCTGCGCCCTCCAGAAGCACTCAGGCTGTGGGGCACCGCCGTGCGCACCTCGCTGCAGCACTGAGCGGCAGCACCCTGGAGTGGAGCGGCGCCAGCAACCATGATCCAAAGCGCAGACAGGTACTTCCTAACCCCAGCAGCTCTCGCTATCTGGGAACTAACCTGCTCCACCCGCATACTGTGCACTCTCCAAAGCTTTCCCAGCGTCGCAACAACAAAGTTTGAATCCTTCGTTCGTACTGGCGAAGCCATGGTAGCTCAAAACGTGGGCCCAACCAGCTTCAACGCGTGACACAAGTATCATCTTAAACAAGTTTGCTCAACTATGAAGTGTGGATGGCGCACACCTGTACACGGAGCAGGATGTTTTTGTTTTTGTATGGGATAGGCCCCGCCTTTTCGAGACTAGTGGAGTCATGTTGTTCTGAAGGTGTCGTGGCATGTCAGTCGAAAGGATCTTGACTCAGTTTCTGTGCGTACCCTTTGTTGTGCACGCACGCCGTTGAGGTATGGGAACTAAATTTCTAGCTGTTCTCAGTTCTCTCCCTAAATGTATTTCGATAAATTTGGGGAATGGGAAAGTTTGTGAAGTACGTCCAGTCAGTGATAGTCTGGGCAAGCCCGGTTCCGACATATTCCCTTTGTCAAAGCTTTCTTGCCTTCTCGCAGCCGCACCGGCATAGGTGGATCGATTTCCACACCCTGCGTGGCACATACAAAATCAGAGAGCGGGTGTGCTTGGGCGTGGCACATACAAAAAACAGAGAGCGGGTGTGCTTGGGAGGGCACAAACTAGATCAAAACCTACCAAAGACATTATAAATACCATGCAAATATAAAAACTGCTGTGAGACCTAAGCGAAACGCATATTTTTCTATTTTCTTGTGCCCAATCTCTATGCGCTATGTCAATGTGTAACAACAATGGTAAGCACTATGAGGCTATGAGTTCAATATAATAGTTTGCTGGTCCTTTGTGTTCGCTTGTTCTCAATATCGGTCAAAGCTGTTTGGATCTTGAAAAGGTTGATATCAGATATGTCGGCTTCAGCTTCAACACTCTCCCCTCAACAACTCCGCCATGATCCCAAGGAACCTTCTATTGCTCCAAAAGATCTTGCATGTTACGAATGATTTTTCTACTCTATTTCTTTGATGTCCTCTTCAAAGGCGAGAAGCTATCCAAATAACACAGATATCATTGCTGTATTGATTTTGGTTTTGGCCATCTTGTCCCGACCAGGCGAAACAAGAATCATGACAAGGCAGCCAAAAAGAATATATACGTTGAAATCTTCCATGAATGCCACCAGCACCTTCACTTCAGGTTCGTCACATGGCCGCATGTTCGTTCATCCGAGAACAAACATTTCGGCTGGAGTCGAAGGAAAAAGGCCGCCGTTGTGGGATGGGAAGGGCTCCATCCGTGCCAGTGTTTCGACATTGGTAGCGGAACCTGGGGTAATAGACCTTCGGCTCCGAGACGATCTTGGCGCCACCATGAACGCCACGTCGAGTGACCATGGAGGTCACAAATACTCTTCAAGCGATAGCGAGGACCAGAAGGAGTACCGTCGCTGGAAAGCCTGGGTTCAGGCAAAGATGCTACGCTGGACAAGATGCCCAAGGAAGCTCGTCGTGGTGCGGGTGTTTCCACTTTGCCGTCCGGCAAGGCATTTGGTGTGTGGGACCCTTAGAGCCATCGAAGTACCAGACTGCTGATGGAAACAAAGTGCTGTTCGAGCTTTTGGGTGCCTGCTTTCCTCAAAAGGAAATGTCGGACGAAATGTCTGAAACCCTGACCGAGTTCTTCAAATTTGAAGATTCATGAAGGTGAGAGCCTCAAGGCCTGGATTAGTTGCGCGTCCGAAATGTTTGATCGGCGCATGAGAAAGACCCAATGTCTCCTTCCCGCAGGAGGGAAAGGGTTGGCCGATTCTGCGTAGAAGCGACCACGCTTGGCTCGGTCTCTGGGTGTGCTCAAGCGTGCGGAAATGGGCAAGGCCATGCGTTCCTGCTACCCCAAGTATGTGGGACCCAAGAAATCACACTCTGGCGCAGTTGTTGAGACGGACTTCATGGGCCCGGACTCACAGCTGCAAAACGACCCTGTCGAGGACCTTGTCGATGTAGAGTTCAGTAGACGGGTGTTTCAAGGTCATGTAGACCCCATCTCACGTTGAACGCCGAAGAGTGTATGCTTCAGTCCCCAACACTGAGCCAACTAGGTAGAATGACTCCCACGCATGTCATTGCATCGCGAAGCGGGCTCTCTGCTTGAGAAGTAATTACAGACCACTGTATGCCAAGATGCCTCCAGGAGGCCTTCCTGGAGTTCCAAACCGTGATGATTGACACTGCCGTAGGAGGAGAGGGCCACTACTTCGAAGAGGTACTAAGTCAAATGAGATCTCAATTTCCGTTCACGAACCGGAGTTTTGCGGTGCTCTCTATTCCCAAGGGTGTGCCAACCTCGCAGCCACTGAGTGACAAGAGCAATTAATGGTAGCCTCAAGTGGTTATCGTCACAAAGCCGGCCTGGCCTGATCTTTCCTGTCAATCAAACATGTGTCAACAGGGGTTTCCCAAACCGACAATCCACAATCACCGAAGGCGCCGGGGGCGTTGTGTAGGCTCCGGGCAATTGCAAGATTATATGTACCTATATGGGGGAGGGCACTTTTGTTCGGGAACGGAAACGCTGTGTTTTACAGTGTTTTTGGAAGACTGACAAAAATTGGACCAAACGTTGGCGATGCCGGTTATGCCGGCCGGGCACGTCGCATGATCGACATCGCGGACGCATGGGAGATCGCAATGTCGACATCGCGCGCGCGTGTGCGACCGGGGGCGCTGCATTATTGACACCGTGGGTGTTTGCATGTGTAAATGTCTGTATGCATGGATGGATGTCCCTGTCTGTTCATATGTGTGCGCGCATGAGGTCTTGTTGGGGGAAGCAATGATTTGGTGGAGGGTTCTGCAGAAAAAAATCGGTAGCGCCAGGCAGTTGGTGTCTCCGCAGCCGTCTCCGCAGCCGCAGGCCGAATTTTCGGCGACAGAACTCCGACCCAACTAGACGACGAGTGGCCCGAAAGCATTTTTCATCACGTAGGAAGTCAGAGTGCGAGTTATCTGTTAAGTGTGTTATAAGTGTTCAGTGTGAAGTGTTAAGTCGAGTGTGTTGAGGCAGTGTGTGGGTCTGTGTGTGTGTGTATCTATGTCTGTGTGTGTATGTGTCTCTCTCTGTATGTCTTTCTGAAGCGCAGGAACACCTGTTTTCTGCAAGTTCTTCACCTCTCGAAAGTCACCTCCGCGTAGTAAAGTTGTACTACAAAGTCGCCAGTTCTCATCTTCCAGCTCCACAGATTGCTCCGTGTACTAAAGTTCTACTACCAAGTCGCCAGTTCTCATCTTCCAGCTCCCCAGATACTCCGCGTACTCAAGTTGTACTACCAAGTCGCCAGTTCTCATCTTCCAGCTCCCCGGATACTCCGCGTACTAATGTTGTACTACCAAGTCACCAGTTCTCATCTTCCCACTCCCCAGATACTCCGCGTACTAAAGTTGTACTACCAAGTCGCCAGTTCTCATCTTCCAGCTCCCC